GTGCTCCGACAAGAATGGATTATTGAACATAGGTTTAAATGGAGAAAGAACAATATTGTCGATTTTCTGGATCCGCTTTTGGGGTAGGGTGGGGGCTACCCACCCAGAAACCTACTCCGCCCTTCCCTATACAAAGGAGGGACTTTGCTGAGTAAAGTACAAAACATATTTTTCATCTTTGAAATTGTGATCGGATCACAAAGAATCAAAACTTCATTTCACGATTTCTAATTTCATATCATGTTTCAATTTTTCCCCCCCCCAGCGTACCGCTTGGAGACACTTTGTATATTTCCCGTAGATTTAGAAGAATTAATTTACAAAATCTTAAGTAGGGTTTTTGTCTACTTTTCCATAAAAATCAAAATATGAAAGTAAATTAGGCAGCATCTAATATATTTGAGCTGATTCCGATTACTCCGTCTAATTAAGTCTCTATACGTACAACATTTAAACCGAGCAAGTCCACCCCGTAATTCAGCGTAAAACTCTAAAATACTTTTGTCGGGAAATTACCATGACATCGATCTTCAACTTGCACGTCTGACTCATGCATCTAAATTGCCGTAGCTTTTACCCTTATAAATGAGACAAACGAACCAACACAACATGGAAATAGAGTGAGGGAAAGGACACGCGTTGATGACGGCGCAGAGATACAACTATTCGTGCTTGATGGATGTCCGTGTTGCATATCTGCAAAACTGAAGGCGTCATGGCGCGAGGCGTGAACTGGGAATGCTCCGCTCTTTCCTAACGATGAAGGGTCGTTCGGGTTCGGGATAAATGTTAAAACCAGCGGGCCGATTATTGAAATTGATAGACAAAGCCATAGACAAAGAAGACAAAAGAGATATGGAGGGATCATTTTGGTGAAAGCGGGTGGTTGCAATGGACAAAGGAGAAAGGTAATAGACTAACTAACGGCAACCCACGAGGGACCCGATAGTTAGTCCATCATTTTCTCCCTTAGTCTATAGGAACCACCCATTTCGACCAATAGGATAGCTCCATGCTCCCTAAGTAATCCTTGTCTATCGCTTCGTCTATCAATTTCAATAATCAGCCCGCATGGCTCTAATTTGTCTCTCCTATATTTGGCTGTGTTGACACTCGATTTGTTTGTTTGTTTGTTTTTTTTCAATTTATGATGTCTTATTGTTTTATTTTAGTATGTATCTGTATATCTATATTTCAAACTCGGCCCCATATAAGCGGGTCATGTGCTTTTGGCAAGCCTCGGGTCAATATGACCTGGTTTGAGCATCTGAGTGTTAATAAACAAATTTTAGTAAAAACCATTCAATACATATTTTAATAAAGTAAAAATTTTCAAGTAGTTTTGCTTTTGCTCCTCGGAAAATACTTCGAAAAATGTATTAAAATGAGTGAATAGACAAATCTTTTAATTAGATTTTTTATCTGATACCAAATACCTGGAAACCGACTTAGGGCAATGAATGACATATCGCCGGTGAAACTGCAAAAATGCGTACCTATTTTGGTTGCGGTGTTTAGAAATCTTCGCTCCTGTTTTATTTTTTAAAAGGAGGCCGAACCAACAACATGACTTGAAGCATTCCCAGAATATTGTTTGTGAGGAGAAGAGATGATCACTGAAATTTGGGGGGGGGGGGGATACTTGCAGTTGTTTTCCGCGTAAAACATAAAGGACGACATGAAAGTCTGCAACGCCGCCACCCGAGATACGCGTTTTGGCAGTTTTACCATCAATATTACGGTGCTGATGCACTCGGATAAGTTAGATTATTTAAGGACCAAAAATTCGCTTGATTGAAAGACCGCTTTGATTTATAAATTCCACTGACCTCTTTAATATCAACGCGCGGTGTTTCTTCTTTCAACCTCATCGGCTCCTCCAGAGTAGGGTTGATGCCGTCCGTGATATTCTGGTAAGATTCCTTTGAAGTGACATTGATTGCGCTGTTAGTTAGACTGGCTGAACTGTCGTGAGCACAAATGACAAACCGAGCGAAGCACAGAATGAAAATATTAATTCTTCCCAACGAACGCATTATAGTGCTGAAGGAGAGGTAAACTCAAATTTGGATATTAGATGTATCTGGGTGGACTTTTTAGCTCCTTAATATGCCTGGTAAAGTAAAGTTTCAGTTTGCGAAATAAAAAATAGATCAGAACCTCAAATCAAGATCGGTATCGCAGTTTTGAAGGAGACTCCTGCTATGAGTAGGACAATGGAGTAGGTGAATAATGTTTATTTTGTTACTTATTTCTTCACCAAGTATTAATGATTTAGAGATCTTTAATAAAACATAATTCGTAAAAATTCGTAAAAAAATGCAATTCCATTAAAATCTTTGGTTCTAACTGTTTTTTTTTTTTTTTTTTTTTTTTTTTTTTGGGGGGGGGGTTAAGATAAAATCACGACTTGTGTATCAAATATGTGAAGAAATGGGTATCATTAAAATCTTGAAGTTGATGGTTCAAATTCGTTTCACATCAGAAGAGCACTCTACTCTTTTGATTGAAATACCAGTGTTCAATATCTACGTGATCAGTTTGAATGTCTACTTAAAGTTACATCACTCGTCCAAAATTCCAAGAGGCGTGCTCCAAAATGTGTGCAAGAGGTACAAGCATGTAGATGTACAGTCCAGCTACACGGTCAGAAGTTTCAATCACGTGAGTTAGACGTAATATATCTTTGTTTTTGAAATGCACAGCACAAAAACTATCACACAATTCATTAAACCAACTGCTGTCGTTTGAAAATTATTTTTAAGAAATAAATTTAATTTCTCGGCCAGCAATATTATGCACGAAAATATCAAGCCCGCGGTCGCGGCACACAGTTTTTCGAGAAAAATCCACCAACGTTCACCGACCAACTGACTTTGGAGAACAGTGATGTTTCCACTTATACTTTCTGCCCAAGACCCAGTTCTCGGGCAATGATTGGAGTTCCATTTTGTCATTTCTCTAGCCAAAGCTTTTGCTGATGGCTGATTTTATCGTAGCAAGGCTCATTAACTGTGAACGATGGGACAGCGAAAGGAGAAATGAAGAGAAAAAGGGAAAACAAATAAACTGATGGCGAGTTTTTCAATATCCATCAAAACTGTCCCAGCGTCATACTATGCTCATTGCTTAGCGTTTGTAAACCACTCGATACCAAAACTTAGAGGTGATATCCTAAGTGCGATGTTTCAAAATCTATATTTATATTATATTGAGCGCTCACCACGCCACGCGCAGTGGACGCTTTTCCCGGCGATTTTTTCGAAGCTGTACAATAACATTGTAACATGCCTGGTAAAAATTGGCAGTAGAATCTGTGTTCCAATTACCATAGACCTACAGCCGGCTGTAAGATTTCCAATAGCTTCTATAGCCGGCAACACAATTTCTTATAGCCCTTTATAGCCGATGGCGATTAAGCAACAGCCTGGCGATAAAGTGTATGATAAACGTTACTAATTACGGATGCTAGGACTTAGTGAGTTTTTGAACAACCGCTATCTTTTTGGGCCGCAGTATCTTGATTTAATTTGCGAGGAAAGCTCCTTACTTTTGAAGGATGGCTGACATTCCTAATATGTTGGAGCGCCTTCAATTTCGTATGATACTATGCAATACCTCTGGTGTGAAATAGTTGCTTCAAGCGCCGCGGTACGCTGCGGCGTGGCGCGGCGGGCGGGCAGCCAGCGCATTGGCGCCTGCAAACCTAACAGGGATACTTCACGCATTGCGCAATGCGTGAAGTATCCCTGTTAGGTTTGTAGGCGCCGGTGCGCCGCCGCTCCACTTAGTGTTAGGCTCTAATATTTAATCTCGCGGAGTCAGCGTTGTTCAACTCATGACTTTGAAATGTTTGCACACTTTGTATGGATTATTCTCATTTTAATTGATGAAAAAAATATGTAGTGAAGGAAAATATAATGTGCGTTTTGTAAATATTAAGGTGATTCCGTACAAGCTTAAAGATTTACAAAGCACAAGAATTTCTATTCAATTTTTTATAGCCTTTATAGCCGATGGCGAAAAAGCAACAGCCGGGCGATAAAGTGTAAAGCCCGGCGATAGGAAGTATATCCCGGCTGTATAATTTTATCGCTTCGTGTAGCCCGGCCGTATGATTTTTTCCACTTTCTACAGCCTATCGCCCTCTTCAGTCGACTATAAGAACTCCTATGGTATTTTGAAACGCAGCTCCTATCGTCAATTTTTACCAGGGATGCTATAATGTTAGCGACCCTACTTTGCTTCATGGGGATTTCCACAATATTTTTGGCGGGAACTTAACTTCAAAGATCTGAGCATGCGATTGCTTCGACAAGAATCCGTTTTTGCCTATCCATTCAAATGTAGGCGAACCATGTCACGTTACTGACGTCAATCCTCTGTCGATGATGCTAATAATTTTTCGCCCGCTTTTTTTCAGTTAGGCAAAAGTAACTGTTCCAGTTCAAAATACCACCAATATTTCGCAATTATCACAGTTTTACAAGGACTCGGTGCAATGAGTCAGAAATATTTGTTTGGCAGTGACGACTTACAACGACTCGTTTTCTAGAGGCATGACCATTATTGCTCAAGCCTTTAAATGCAGTTTTCATGATTACGGTTTTTTAAAAGAGATTGTTTATTGTTCTTAATTTCTGCCGTTCATGCCAATATACAGAGATTTTGCGATTTGATTTGGGTCCTTTTGTTTTACATATAATTTAAATAGCATAAAATTTACAGCCTGACTTTTTCGTCCTATCACCTGAATTTCAAATTTTCTAGAATTTCTTCAAATATTTCATTAATTCTGGCAATGAGCTCCTTAAATTGACCAAATTTTCTGTAATTTTTTTTTAGTGTTCAGGAAGTTAGGTTACTTTGGATCTCGCTACTGGTTGTGCTGAGGGCAAGTAATTAATTTTAATTATGAGCATTGCGTTGGAAAAATGAAGAATTTAGAATTTAAAATAAATTGAGCTTGTCTTTGTTTCAACGATTATTTAATCAAAATCAAATTTACAATTTCTTCAAATAAATAAATAAATTAAATATAAAGCAATAAATTAAATAATTAAATTCACTTATTCTTACATCAATAAATTAAGTTAGTGAATTAGTAGATTCAATAGTGTGGTAGGTAATTTATGAAATCGCACAAGTACATGTTAAATACGAGTATACTTAAGTAAGAGTAAAATGAGTTTGAGATATTATTCGCAAAAAAGCTTATCCTTATTTGTTTTGCAAATATAACGTTTGAAATAACATAAATCAACAATTTCGAAAAAAATATATGCTACCAAATCATAGTACTATGTAGTATCTCTTTGAGCAAAAATCGTGTTGTCAGTTGTAGAATGAGAATATCGTACAGGGTCAATTTTTAGAGGAGAAAATGACTTTTTAAATCAATTAATAGTTTCAAAACTTCTGGCATAAAATAACGAGCTTTTCCTATACTCGTTTGCAAGAAATTAAATTTTGAAGATACAACTCAACTTTATTTTTGTCGCTCTTTGTACAACTAACTTGCTGCTTATCTCAGGTGAAAATACCATTTACAATAAATGTATTCAATCGAGGGATGTATACATGTTGCCGCCATTTCGAAATTCCGAAAAGCCTACGTAAAAAATAATTATGATTAACATACTAATAGATACACAATTCTCCTACTTAGACTAGATACTACTTAGATCATAGAGATATTTATTTACGCTTTTTACATAAGACTGGCTTTCGTAATTTTGGCAAAGCGAATGGAGTAATGAGAGAATAATTAAATTAGTTATTTCCTGAATGAACGAATAAATAAATAAATGAATAATTAAATAAATACCCGCGAATAAGAATACAGGTACACATTACATGGTCAAAATTTGACAAAACACAGCATGATGTATAGACTCTCAATCAACTTAAAGCATCGATTTTATGTTAAGAGTGTCGTTTCTTTATTCATATTTGTTTAACTGGATGCCTTGGGAAGTAATGACGTAGGTAGCATACACATGACAGTGAATTTCGGTGGGTTTGTTTCAAGAGATATGGATCAAACACCTTCTCATTCTTTCACACGAGCTGGTATATCTCCAGAACGTGATAATTATGACAAGTAATAGACAGTAAATAGTTCTTACAATATTAATAAAATTAAAATTAGAATAAATAATAAAAAAAACCACAGTCTTAGCACCTTGAGCTTTTAAATGAGCCTCATGGCGCAGCTGGTAAAAGAAGTTGAGAACGTTTAGAAGCTCATTATATTGGCCCGCATGAACTGAACATTTCAACAGGAAGGTTAGGGAAGAGTGCTCCCAGAATGGAAACTTTCGGGTTTTACCTAAGTTATTCTCAAATTGGAGATACCAGTCTCACAGATCTGCGCCAAAACTGGCGTTAAATAACGTCAAAGTGTACTATTAAAGTTATGAGAGTTCAAACCCTATATACAATGAAGAAATCCGATTTGTATGCATTCAAAGGGGGCCGGGTATCAAATTCGGGCATATTATTTGCATTTTTTCCACCTCGTTCAGAAAAAAAAATGCCCACCTACTTTATAGCCAATTCAATAGACAATTTTGCCGAAAGTTGCGCTCATACACTCCATTTCTCACCGTTGGCTAGTCATCACTCTTTTCTGATTTTCGCCACTCACGGCTGATTGAACTCAGCCACAACTTCCGACCTCAAAATAAAAGCCCTTCTCCAATTCCATTGCCTCTCACAATGAGTTCCGATCGGCAAAACTTTGAAAAAACTCGAGGCGTGCCCCCGACCAAATTTCGACTTGACTCATCATTACTGATCCAGCTTTTATGATCGACTCTACGTTGCCATGCTTCCACTAAAATCTATTTTCCGCCGTAGGAAATCCACGGAAGGTGACGGACGTTCCGCTGTGACGCGGCAAGGAGACTTGGCGCTTAACAAGGTCAATAGGCTTGTACGCGCAAATACAGTGGAATGCTTTAAATGAATAGGAGTTATGAATAGACGATGCTGGGGCCCCGTTATCTTTTGTGATTCAGCAGACTGCATTAGCATCGAGCGCATGAATTATGCCGCCATAAATTGGAGGAAGTAATGATTTTCGATCGGCGGCACCAACCTCTTTTACTTTCTTCATGAGCGTGCGAGACCGTACAAGCTGTCAATGATATTAATTTCCTGCTCCCATGTCTAATATGGACCGAGTTCATCTAAAACGAACCAACCCACATTTACGAAAAAATTGATTTAAGAACGTTTTTGAGTTCCTCTAGTCCTACATATTATCTCCTGCCAAAAACTCAAAGTCGAAAAAAATATTAGTTTGTGATAAGAGGGATTAAACCATGTTACATTCTACATTGCAATTATTGAGGAGTAGAACTTCAAACCTCTATTTCTCAGTTTCAACCTGATGTGGGTTGGTGCTTTTCTGATAAACTCGGTTCATATAAGATTGAGTCTACTTTGACTCTACTTTTGAGTAAAATTGACTAAATTTCAATTCATTTGACTCTAATTGACCCTGAATTACTTTAATTGCCACACAGTCGTATTTTCATTTGACTCGACTTACTTTAATGGAAACGGATTATTATGTACTTCTTTTAGCAGTAATGTAACCTGAGAAACGAGATAAGTTGTGAAGTTGGGACGAAGCTTTGATGAGCATATTTTTTTAATTTGATCGAAATAACTGGCTTGTCCCATGTAAACTTGTCTCTAACCCCTTATTTTAGTTCTTTTAGTCATCAGTCTTGGCAAACTCACATCCCTTTTCTTCTTGTTGAAATTTCATATGCGCCTTTTGGAAGTCCCTGAAAAGACTGCGTCAAATTATCCAGGGTTTTTTTGTTGATATTAAAGTGGAACAGAGAATATAACAATTTAGCTAAATATCAGGTGGTTCCTCGTCAAATCCTCATTAGTTAAACGAGGATTCAGAGATAATGCTTGTTCAAGACTTAAAGTTTCAATAATGCGCCGTTGGGCCGGGGTTGGGCCGTTGGTTACTTTTACAGGTCGCGTGATAAAAACCATCAGAAATCTAGTAAATTCTAGGGATCACACACTGACATTCTTTTTATCCGTGCATTTGAAGCTATAAAGGAAATAGCGATAACTTTCCCAAAAAATCGATATGTTATCTAAAGAAATTTGGGAACATTGGAATGCTCATACGGCGTTCTTTCGAACACGGAAAAAATAGATTGCTGATTTAACAATTAAATTGTTAAAAAATATGTTCGACATATTTCAAATGTACATTTTACAATAGCGGAGAGCAAATTCAACCACCAAACCTACATTGAAACTGTCGGGCACTTTCTTTAAACTACAAAATTGTTAAATAAGCAATTTCATTTTTCTTCCGTGCGGCTCGGCAGTGTTAGGTCGGGCTGGGAAATTTCCTGACATGACTGCGGTCTCCTCAGGGACTCGGATGACGATGGGTCCTACCGGCGCTTCTTCCCACTGGCAGGGTCGATGGGGATGTAGACGGGCGTGCGTTCCGGGGCGTGGATACGGTAAATGACGTGTTCGACGTTGTCGGTGGACTCGCGAAGAGGCTTGAGGACGTGGTCGAGCTCCATGCTCCGCCTGTAGGCGTAGCCGCCTTCAGGGCCCTGGGCCTCGTGGTGGACGTCCGTCGAGTGGGCGTGAGTGACGACCGGCTTGGTGATGATCTCGTAGGTGGTGGACTTGTGCTCGGCGTGCCCGCCGCCGCCGCCGTGACCCTTGAACAGGGACAGCCCGGTGAGCAGGAGGGACAGCATGGACGCGATCAGGGCTTTCCCGGCCAGCGCCGCGATCGTCTTCATACCCAGGACGAGGAGGGTTCCTCCAGAGACCACGCCGGCCATCATCAGAGGGTAGTTGTACTTGTTCTTTTTACCTGTGTTCAGAAACGGGGTTGTTAGTACAGGGGTAGCAAAGAGTGGCGCTGTATCAGAGAATCCTCCCTATACTCCCGTGCTAAGTAGGTATCATTCGCGGATCCAACAATTTGGCATCGTTTTTTTTCTCCATTGAAGCCTACGGAAGGTATTGCTTCTTGGAGGGGCCAGGTGCTTCGACAAGAATCGATTATTTAACAAAGGTTTAAATGGAGGGAATCCGGTGTTGCCAAAATGCTGAATCCGCCTCTGCTAAGGGTGAAAGCCTTATGAAAATTTGAATGTTGCCAGATTTCCCCCGACAAAATATTTATTTTTGAAGAAAGTTATGCATACATGTATTTATCCACAAAATTTTCAGAAGTTTTAGATTAAATTGTGAACAAAATTAAGAAAAACAAAGATGGGAGGAAAATTATTCAGGATTTTTACAATAAATGTGTTTTTCATTGAAGGATATATGGCAACGCATGAAGGCTCAAACGATGTTTCCACTTAGCACGGAAGTATACTGGTTATTTTCCAGACGCAAGGACGCAACTACATTTCAAAGTTGCGACCTTTTCACTAGCAAACTGTATTATTACCAAAGGACTGCTCAACTGAGTCAACATTCAGTCATCGTTTTCAAGAACTCTATCGAAAACATCGAGCTAAATTGAATGCCACTAGATTGGAACTACCATTGCAATTTCGCTCCTCAGTCCACCTAATCGAACGAAGAATTTAGAGACTCGTTGAGCTGTTGTGCTTATTGCCAACGGTTCGATAGAAATCTTCAATTTACGCGCGTTTAATCTGCAGTATCTTTCTTGATTATAAATTAAATCAGTTCGTAAATGCAATATCAAGGGCTATGCTACGAGTAATTTTCGTAGAACATCGGAAACAAAAATCAGCAAATCTTCTGTAAAGTAAAGTCTTTAAGATAATCCATAGATAAAAAAATTGCATATCAATATAAAAAAGAGGTGAAAAATCAGACGACAAAAATTGTAAAATAACGGCAAATGTTAGCTAATTGAGCTCGAAGATTATAAAGCTTGCGCATTGAAATTTTTGGAAGCGCCGTACAGGAAAAGCTAAGCTCTGACTTCAGTGGTTTGTTCAAACTTGTTTTTTGCAAGCGCATGGTTAAAGAAGAAAAATTGCAAGTAAGCACGGTGTATTCAGCTTTGTCTTTTCTCCTTGTGTTCCTATCAACATTAAACAGTTAAAATTCTTGAACTTACCATCATCTTACTCACAAGATAAAATATTTTATATAGCAGGTTCAAGAAAAGGCTACTCAAGAAGTTGGTAACATTGCTGCTTCTCCATTTAAATATATGTCAAACAATCGATTCTAGGTGAGGCAGCCTGTCTCGACTAGAATCGATGTATTCAATGAGTTGAAATGGGATATCAACAGTGCTGCCAACGAACTGGACTCGCACTGTGCAATATGAGTCGGCTTCACACCAAGGATATTACTAGAGTTACACTTCTGATCATTAATAGAAACATTATCAACACAGATTTACAAATAAAGTGTATCAGCGAAGAAAATGACGAAGGTACACTGGAAAAAAAAAAGATTGGTAGAATTTACCATTCCTTCACGCTGTATTTCACACAGCGTCAATTCAGAGTCAAATCTGTCAGAAAAAAGGTAGACGTTACCATAAACTGGTACAGGTAACCATTTTTCTGGCAGGATCGACTTTGAATTCAGGCTGCGTAAAATACAGCGTGAATGAACGGTAAATTCTACCAATCTTTTTCTTCCAGTGTGGTTTTAGGATATGTTTTGGCAATTATTATTTTGTCTTTGGTAACTGTTATACTAATTGTTAATAGCTAGTTTATCAGTGACTTTCCGGTTTGATTTTTATCCTGGTGTGTGAAAAGATCAAAATCGCTGACCCCTTCTACAGAATAAGACCAGGAGGTATTTTAATTAAGCGCTGAAGCAAGCGAGGCTTATAGTGAATTTCACTTTGAATGTTGAAGTGAGCAGCTTGGAAAATGGGTCGTATAAATTAATCCAAATTCATGTGTTTAGACGTTTTTTGATTGATCAATTTACTTTTCCTGACGTATGAGACACAAGCATAAAATGGAATTATATTGATGGCCCTTACAAGTTCCTTCAGCAATAGAAATGTAATAGTTCATGAAAGTAAACAAAAGGTCTGTTAAGAAAAAGTGAAGAAAGTAAATTGAAAAAATCACTGTGAGAAAAAAGAAAGTTTTGTGATAGTATTGCCACGAATTTTCAAAAAAACTTGTTACAAATGAGATCCACCAATCGCATGAACTCTCTATAAAATCAAGAGAGAAAAAAAATGAATAAAAATAAAAATAAAAAATTAGAAAATATATGCGGCAAATTATATTTTTGAATGGAAACATTTCCGATAAAAATTAAATAGGATGTTTACAAACGTCTTAATTCAAACAAACTTAAATACATACATAAACCCTTTTCCCGGCCGAAACGAATTTTTAAGGATACGTAACTTTGTCGAGAGTTGATGCAAGTAACTCAGTTAGGGAGCAGGCCGCCTGACGCCTCAGAGACTTGAACGCAGGAGTAAGAAAAACTATTAGGGGTACAAAATTGCGATTCAGCCATTCAGTGGTCCGAAACCTTGAGATACTAGAGTTACTCAGATTGTTAAGCTATAGATAACCCTTTGAGAATAATTAAAAGGAAGAATATGCCTGTAAGCAATGTTTCACGTCGAACTCTCGGATGAATTTCCGACCCAACTAGACATAGTTTTGAGACGCCACTCAAGTCATGAAGTATTTTTATTGTGACGGACAGTTTCGAGGAATTGAGACAAAATTCAGCATCTTACACTTTTATTTCACCTCTTTTAAGTTACTTGTTACATTGAATCTTTTATTGCCCCATTTTGTCAAAGATTTCAAAAATATCGAAGTCAAGTTGAAGGACAGAACATTAATAAGAAGTAGAGTGAAAGAAGTCGAAGTAAAATTGATTAAAAAATGAAGAAACTAAGGAACAGAAATTTAAACGAGATATTAATGATAGCTGAGATTTTGAGCTGCCTGTAAGATGATCATGAAGCTGTAAGATTCGTTGTCAGGCTTAAAAAAGTATCTCATATTGAAAATGGCACAGTTATAATTCTTGAAAAATATTGAGTTTGCAGGTAGGCAAAGAGAGAAAAAAACACAATTTTGAGATGTCCTAAATAAAAATACATTTTTTTTAGTATTTATTTCATTGACACTCACAAGGATGTAAAATTATTGATCGTTTAAAATCACCTACTTTCTCTAAACTTTGAATCTCAGATCGAATGTGACAAGCGAAGCATCTTCTTGCAAGCAAAATGATCGCATTAATTCAGCGAGCAATAGGCCACGTTGTAAGAAAAGGAAAGTAATCGTTTTTTACGCAAAAGCAAAAAGTATTCGGCTGTATTTGTATATTTTATATCGGTCATTCTAATGCGCACTAAGCTCATTAAATATAAGTACCATTAAGGAAATGGCGTTGCTTTTTGTATGCGTGAGGGTGATACAAATAGCTTAAAATATCGAAGTAGCAAACATAATCAGACGCACTTTATACATATTTTGGTATTGTCCGGTAGCAGCAGCTCGAGGTCCCTAGTAGCCTGGCAAATCAGCGAAGGAATGAATGGCAAGCGAAGACGGACGAGCGATGAGCTTCACTGAAAGTCTGAAGAAGCTTCGAACATTGCAAGCGGTTGCGAACAAAATTAAATTCGTATAATATGCCAGTCCATGTCCTTATTTGTCAGTTTGTCAATGTAAGGTACACTCGGTGGTGGGTACTTGAAATTTGCATGCCAGTGGCTGTTGAGGTTATGCAAAAGGTAAAGACGACCGTCAAATGTATGCCTCACCACTTTAGATGTATGTTTATTGAGTTTTTTTTTATAGGATATTGCTTTGTCAGTTGTCAAAAATCACGATGAGTCAGAAATGAAATTTTGGACACCATGACATTTTTTATTGAACTCATCCATGGTGAAGACGGTTTTTTGAACCATCTAACGGTGATTTAAGATTTCACCTTGCAAGAAGGCAGTGCTCTCAATGTAAAATGCCTGCAAGCCGCAACTAGCATTTATGCTGAATTTTCTCTTCAGTCAACAATGGAGGCTTACATTGCCTTTCACAAGGGATTGTGATTGATACACGTTGGGACGTGAGATATCGGAAATTAAGAGAGGAGCATGTATGTAGCTTGTTAGTGCGTTTGTACGTAGGTGTTAGGGAGCAGCTTGGTAGCAACTTCATTGCAAGCGACTTTTGAGGACTTACCCCCTTTTTCGTCCGTGCTCTTCACGGGCAAAGGCTGCTCCGAATCTGTAAAGTAATCGAAGTACGGCTCTACAAAATATAATGATCTCAAGTAAGTAAAATTCGTCAATTTCATAGCTCAATCTTATTGTTAGTTACAAAGAGTTTCACTTTGAAGAGGACAGGTATGTTGTCACGGTGTCGAAAAAATGGCGCTGAGGGGAAAGATGACGCAAAAAGGGAACACGGAACATCCCCTCTCTGGCGTTAGGGCGTACCGTAAACTGATTACCGCATGAGCCCTAGAAAGCAAGGGCTCATATTTAAAACAGGGCTCATGTTGAATCTGAGATTCGTCCTTACGCTGCGCTAGAGGGGTGGCGAAAGTCCGATCATTCTGAAGACTCCATTCGAATTTTACCTTCAGGAGGAATCGTTGCAATTTACCCTAAACTCATTACCAAGGGTCAATAAGTTCTTATGTAGTGATAAAGTGACCAAAAAATGGGCTCAGGCCATAAAAACAGTGGATCTCTAATGAAAGTTTTAAATTGTTTTCAATATTTAAATTTCTATCACAATTCCGTCAAATTAGCGACTTTACTTTGTCAAAAGTTTAAACATTTTTTTTATTTCTTTTGAACTTAGGAAATCACTGTTCCCTCTCTTTTCCTATGAGAGCATTTTCATATCTAGACAGATTCTCTTTCAACAATGAATGTTGAAGTGGATTTTATTATCACAGACTTTCACTCAGAACGCCTTTGAGAGAAACGGATTTACTGTAGGCTATTTTTTCTGGTCAAATCTAAATAAATAAAAAGAAATCATCTGGGAGGAACAAATGATTGTAAAATTTACCAAGCCTCCGAATATTTATACCTTGTCTACATTTCATGTTCAAATTCCTCCTCTCCTAGACATTGGGCGCAATGTTTCTTGGCCAAATGAAGAAATAATACTGTTAAGTACTCATCTTATAGTTGTAAAGTCTGATAATTTTTCCTCACTGTACCATTGTCGTTATAATTATACCATAGATTTTGGGATTGTTCTTATGCGAGCATCTCAGTTTGTGCACGCAAAGCGCAGAAGCATCGTGTTAGCAAAAACGTAAGGTTGGAGCCGAAAAAAGAACCAATTAAATTTGCAGAAAGAGCCAAAGGCAATCTTTTGAGGAATAGATGAAGCGAATCAATTTTCTGCTTTCACCAAAAGAAACCAAACCGTATCCACCAAAAACACGTTTCGGAAGGTTATCTTTACAGCTAATGAGACACCAGTACCATTAGGAAGTTCCGTCAATGATCAATTTTCTTCTCTATAAATAGGGTTGCCCACTAGCTAAAATGGATCATCTTTGTACTACCTGATTTGAATTTTAGGAAACAAATTGTGCTACCCGTTTCTCGATATTCCACGTCACAAAAATACCTACCGTAAAATAATTCTTGGAAAGGGACCAAGCAATATTATTCCTTTTAACTGCAATCGGAGGGAGTGGGGTCTCCACTTTAATGCATACAGAGAATATTGCTGGTTGTAACTGCAGAAATGATAATTGAACAGAAATATTTTCATAATCAAAATATATGCCAACATTTTTTCTGTGCATCCCTGCGCGACAAGTTGCGTCATTTCACCACTCAGTGCCATTATTTCCACTTACAAATTATCAGGTCTCGATTAATTTATCTGATTCTTTATTCATATTATGATCTTACTTTTTAATATTTTCAGTTAAGACACCTTGTTAGTAAATTTTTCTCTCTCTGCATACTGCAAGCAAATATTGATCGGGCGAGTGGATGTGGGACAGAAAAGAGAAGAACGGGAAAGAAAGATATGAGAAGAAACATTAATTTAAGCTCACTGAAATCCTAAATGGAAAATTTAACATAATCTGACAAAGAATATGGCAAAGACTGAATGTTTAGTGATATCATCGCCATTGTAATTTTTGACGGCTCAAAGAATGAATGTGAAAGGTTCACATAAATTTTGGGCTGGTGACTAATTTTTCTGGAAACTATTATCGCTAATGTATATATAGCCTCTGTGATTTTAGATTTTTATCTTGTATCATGTTTGGGTTCGCATAAGTTACTGAAGTCCAATACTTTTGAAAATCCTTTGCACCCAAAGTTCAATGCGCGAGAAACTCGATGACCAAAATTATCTCCTGAGAGGCTAAGACTTATATTTAGGAAGAGGCATCATAAAAATTACCGTATTGTGGGTTACATACGTGAAAACATATTTTAAGTGTCTTTTTAAAATTAATTTTTTTTTTAAAAAAAATGTATCCATTTATAAATTGTTGCTTCCAATAGGTGAATTCTTCCTGCGGTGTCTTCAGAGAATGAGAAAAAGATTCTAGGAATACATTTTTGAAAGCTAACTCAAGATCCTAATGCTGTTGAGTTTGAGCTTAAGTTGACTATTTTTGCTAAAATTAGTTTTTGCAGATTACCTCCTCTTGGCATTATCTGTCAAATAAGGGATTCATAACATTAAAATCTATATCTGAATTACCGTCCTCAGCGTAGGTGACCTTGCAGCAGCCAATGATCTGAAACGTTTCAGCATAAAAAAAGAAGAAAAAAGATAAAGCCCAGAGAGAAATAAGTTTATAGCGGTACTTTTCCGATATTTAAGCAATAAAGAAGCAACGCTTTAGGTTGTATTACCTCGCATTTCCCGACCGCTGAATGCAACTTCACCAAACCTCCGCATGCCGTCTAAAGTACTCTTGTCTAACACTCTAATACTAAGCGATAGAGATCCTAAATACTGGCTCAGCTTGGAAGCCAAGTATTCATCTAAATGCTCTAGATCACCTGCAAAAAATTCAGTCATCATGATTACCAGATCGAAGCACCCGCGCAATCAGGAGCAGTGCTGCAATCTGTCGGATAATTTTTCACTTTTCGGGCCATCAAATGCGGAAATTAAGATTTATCATCGAGAGTTGGGATCTCAAGTAAATGATATTTGACCAATTACGTAAATATGAATGCTCATTTAAGGATGATCTCCTTATTAAGAATGGAGATGTTGCATGTGTGAGGGATTTGCGATTTGACCATTGATTCTTATGTAAAAGTTCGCGAGAAACACGATGGTGCCACTGGTTTTCTCTGAAATCAACTCCCAAGCTCAAAAAAAAGCTCTCAAAGTGAAGCCAAAATGGAGGGGATATCCCACCCTACCCTGAGAGTCCACGTCTGCATCAAGACAAACTCTCCATGCAAAGATAGGGAGCAAATACATTGGTGGCAGGGTTGCCACTTTATTTGGGGACTCCAAAACTGAAGACACGGCATCACTGCTAATGTATTTGCTCCCCATCTCTGCATGGAGAGTTTGTCTTGATGTAGAAGTGGACTCTCAGGGTAGGATATCCCCTCCATTTTGGCCTCACTTTGAGAGCTTTTTTTGAGCTTGGGAGATGATTTCAGAGAAAACCAGTGGCACCATCGTATGTTTCTCGCGAACTTTTACTTAAGAGTCAATAGTCACATCGCAAATTTCTCACACATGCAACATCTCCATTGCCATTGGCTAGATAGTAAGATAGAAGTGGGAACCCCGACCTACGCAAGCCAAAATTATCCAACGAATGGCAGCACTGGGTGAAAATAATTACACCAAATAGCGGAAAAAAAATAAATGTTCGATTATATTAATAACCTCATAGAAGATAGAAAAATGAGAGATGAAGTGGAAAGCACACCGTTCCTTTTACCAGCGTCCACGTTCGGAGCAAGATCGCCAACCGCCACACCAGGTAAGAAATAGGTCCATACAGCACCGGACCCCGGCCCCCGACCAACATTCCATTGATGCCCCCATTGACCCAGCATTGAAGAAGTCATCAAATAATTCCTTCAAAAGTTCACAATGTCATCCATTCTCTCTTATAACGTAACTTTTGTCGCCAGCGGGCTGACTGTTGATATGGGTAGACAAAGCGACAGACATCGAAGACAAATGTGATACGAAGGAATCCTATTGGTGGAAGCCGGTGGTTGCAATGGACAAAGGAGGTAGGTAATAGACTAACTAATAGTAATCCACGAGACACTCTATAGTTAATTCATCATTTTCTCCTTCAGTCTATACAGGAACCACCCATTTCAACCAATAGGATCACTCCATGCTCCCTATGTATTCTTTGTCTATGAATTTCAACAATCAGCCCGCAGTTGTCGATGACATTTGAATTATGTAAACAGTAACAGTTAGCCGTCAAGGTTCAGAAATTACATCACAGCAGAAAACTTTTCGCAGAAACGGAGATTTTTTCGTCAAAGAGGTATCTATATCTGAGAGGTATAAGTTGATGCAGATCTAGATAAAATCACATATGATTTCAGCAAAAGAATAAGTTTTTTGTCAACACGCAAAACATTCGTAGAGTTTGTATTTTATTTGTCCCATACCCGTAGATTGTCGCCCGAATTTCGTTCTTAAATTCGGCACGGTATTCAGTTAATAGACAGAATAAGACGCGATATCTCAATCCTGGTGTTGAAACAATTTTTCTATACTTGCGAGAAATTTTTTGCAAGAAAACTGAATTGCTAAAAACAGTTTGCAGAGTATTTTCAGGATCAAAAATATGAGCCAAAGATTTCTTAAGATGGACTTTTAGAGACAAGTTGACTGCATTTTTTTTGGGAAAAGACTCAATCGACTCATGAAATTTTTTCAAAAATGTTTTAAAACACAGATATTTTTGTTCATGGATCAATTTTCTCCATTGATTTTTGATTATTAGCGCTATTTAATGTTCAACATGTCATTTGCTTCATTAACATTCAAGAGATGCAGGAAAATTTGTGATAATAGGTGTATCATTTTGAGAGTCTTCAACGACCTAAAAATACCCCAATACAAACATATATTGTCCATACATATGTATGTAGTTCCACGGTCGACAAAACTTCAACCGATTTTGATTTCCCTCTGAAGATTGTCACAGCGTGTCGCACTTTTGGGACGACAATAACGTTTTTTCGGCAAGCCTCACTCTCCGTTCAAGAATGTTTTGCATTTTCACGGAAAATTATGAATTTAGCAATCGTAATATCGGAGACGCCTTGAATTAGTCACGCAGTGGTGGTCGAAACTGAGAGTATTTTGTCGCCGACAAGTAACCATCGTTTAGAGCGATGATGTTCGATGGTGTCTCATATTCAGACAATATGCAGACTAGTTGCACTCTTTTCGTAGTTTCTAAAGCGTTTCAATACATCCGGTCTTACCTAACCGAAAGAAAACCGATTTTAGATAATCGTTTTCAAAAAAAGATTATCACCGGAGAGATATGAAGTCTGTAATTCTCAATACCAGATCAAGTTGTAAATGATGATATACTAGCTAGTTGGGAGATTTGCAAGGATCATATTACTGAGTAACTCCGGTCCTAATTGTGTTTTTTTGCTAAGTAAAGCACAGTTCACACGGCACAAATTTCCTTTTTCTCGTCGACTTTATTAGATGAAGCGTTCGATCGTGGTAAACGATAGCATAATAATTACACCATTCATCGTCATGTATAGGATGACTTACTGGAAGTGAGAATTTTTGGATAAGACAAGTCTGTACTTCTACCTGGCTTCGCTTTGTCAGCTCGGGATTCGGAGACATTATGCCTCTGTATGGAGACATCTGGCAGAATTTGGTAACTATCGGTTGTTCCTAATTTCTCTACAAAGTGAACGAGCGCCAGCTTGATGCAAGTCATGTACCCTTTGCTGGTACACCGCTTCCACATAATCTGTAACAAAATAAAAAAGAAATAATAATAATCGTTTGAAATAAAATATTTTTTTAATACTCAACACATTAATTAAACTGAAACAAGCGGGAAAGCTCTAATACCTTTGTATTAGAGTAGTGCACAGCTATTTTCTATGTAGGCGCGTTTTTAAATTCCCCGAAGAAGATGAGCAACGTTGAGTGAAAGAACTCGCCACACCAAAATTTCAACTATCAATTTTGAGAAAACTACACTGACGTTAAAAAAATAAATTGTAGAAAAACTATTGTTGTCCGGCCTCCACTCTTTCATATCAGAAGCATTGAATAAAGGTACAACAGATTAATCTATATGTGAGGCCCCCATCCGTCATCTTGTTCCAATGCGCGGTTTGAACGAATTGCTACCAGTATAATAGAATTAAACTCTAGAGGCAGGTCGAAATAAAAAAGAGCTCCCTATCGGCTGACATGGCCGGATTTACCTACTTGCCGCCCACGGGCCGCCTGTATTTTGCCGCCCTCTTCTCATTCATTTTGAAACATCAATAAAAACCATCAAGTGAACGTGCCGGAGGGAGAAGGGTGCATAAGACGCGTTCACTCGTGTTGGACACATTTTTTGCGTAAGCCCTGTTAACGCTATTAGCAAAAGTTCACGGAACCTGGCGCGAAAGTTCAGTTCCGTAAACCCATCTCTGTGGGGACAAGGCCTTTCATTTGTAAGAAATGAACTAAAAAGTTAAGAAAGAACAAACATAAATGTGTTTTAATAATGTTAACTTCCGCCGCCGTGCCGCGCTGACCACACTGTGTTTGGCGCAATGCGTGAAGTATTCATGTAGTCTTGTAGGCACTGTGCGTTTCACGCCGCGCCGACCGCTGATGACCGTACTGTGTTTGACGCACTGCGTGAAGTATCCATGCAGTCTCGTAGGCGCTAGTATGTTTTACATGCCGACCGCCGCTTCGAGGGCTTCTCCTTTTCATCTCAAGTCCTCGTCATCAGTTCTCTTTGCGCCGCGCCGCTCCAGGCCAAATTACGTGTTTGGTTTCTCTCTTAACTCAACTAATTAAAGGTGCGCAGTCTTTTGCATCACCGAAATACGACAAAGTTAGAAATTAATGAACTCTCAGGAAATGAGAGATTTTGTCACCTTTTCTTGTTTGTAATTTTTTTCTGAATCCGATTTTTTTGTACCTGCATTTAAAAAAATTGCAAAATTTGCCACCCCCTAATTTTGCCGTCATGGGCCGCGGCCCATGTGGCCACCCCCTTAATCCGGCCCTGTCGGCTGCGCGCTTAAAGGTAGTTGACGTAGCAATGATACTCACAGGAAAGCAAATGACTAACTTTCGTCATCTGCATTTAATTTAAAGTGAGAGTGAGATCCTTTAAAGACCGCTCAAAAATGATGCTCGGCACTTTTTTCGATTTTTCAAACGTTAAACTTTCTGGCTTGCGGCAAGCGTATGTCATTTGAAAATTAGTATCGGTACTAAAAATATCTGCCCCTTGTACTACCGTGCCAAGAAAGAAGATCTCATGACCCTTCAAACGTTGCAACATTCTCATTGGACAAACCAAAAATTCTCGGAAAAATGTTGGAATATTTTTTCCTCCACTTTTCCGGAGCATTTTCTTCGTAATTTGATCTAAATTGCCCGAAAATTTACAGGAAAAAATTCATGATTTCCCTCAAAAATAGAAATTTTTTTAAGAGGAAATTTGGAAACGTTTGAATGCTCATACAGCGTTTGTCTTCACGGAAAAAAAACAACTAAGTGCTGAGCCCTAACAGTTTAGATCAAATACAGCCAGATAGTAAGGCAGTACTTCTGAGCCCTACAACATTCGTGCCCAGCCCTACAGACTGTAGGTCTCAGCGCTGCCGCTTTAGTAGCTGGCTCCATTTGATCTATACAGTTAGAGCTCTGCACTGAATTGTTTTTTCCGTGTTTAGTACGGCAGTAAAAAATAGACCCCTTCTCCCAAAACAAGTGCAGATACAAAAGATTATTCAGGATGTTTCGTCGTAGCTCACGCCTCGTTGATCTCGTCGCCTGTGTCGAAGCACGTGATCGAAAATTCACTTTCAGGCGCCGGATCAAATTATGCGTAACACGCGTCGATTTGCGATCAATCGGAAGCTGCTGCAGCGCGGAATGTCGTTTCCGCCGTAGAACGGAAACGGAAGTTGACATCCTAGAGGCAAGGTACTCCCGCGCAGAAAAAAGAACCGTCCCCGGTAGCAAACGCTCATCGTTTCGACACGTACTTTCAAGGAAGCACAAAAAAGAGTCTGCGAGGAAAATACGCCGAGGAAAAAAAAATAGGAAAAGAATATAATCGGTGCTGATAATCGCGCGTCAACTATCTGGTCCTATCGCTTTGATTTCCTCGCGTAAACTGTCGCTTTCTACCTTACGGCGATGACGAACCGACCTAAAATCCGGCATTGCCCAACATTGAATCATCGCGGAAATTCGACGTTTATTGGTGGACTTGGCAACAACGCTGCTGCAATATTTTCCATCATAAACTGGAGTCATGCATCACAAAACCAATGCCAAGCCCTCGATGGGAGTGAGAGAAGGTCGGGAAAATGGTAGGAACGAGGAGTCAAGGGAGAAGGGTTGTAAGAGAGCAAGCATGAGCATTTAATTTCAGTCTTCAAATTGACCGCCAGGCGGTTTTCGTTCGTGAGGAAAGTAGTTGTTTGAGAGGCCTTGTTGCCGGACAAATTAAGGAAAAGCAAACATTTGTAAACCGCTCAAAAAGTATTTACTCAGTAAATATAACATCTGAGATAAATATTTTTATTCTTCAAACTCAGATTAGTTTTGAGAGCGAAAAATGTAGTTGCATGAGTTTATATGGGTTATATGGAGGCAAGGTTCGACTTTGTGGACCCGTACCTTGATGGTAACCTGATAATACCATGTTCTGGGTTAAACGATGAGAGAGGTGTTTGATTTTTCATTCTGTCTAATGGTCCGTTTTGGGCGTAGGTTTTTTTTTCTGTTTATCATTTTAAAATTAAGGCGATTATTAACAAATATCATGCTTTTTTAAGTAAGTAGAGATGTTTGCTTAAAAGCTGGTCTCTCGTCTCGTTAACCGTACCATTGTAGGCAATTCATCTTCCCGCACTGCTCTGTTACCCAATGTGGTATAAAAATTACTTTCGGAAGTCAACGCTTGGATGTCAGATTCGCCAATTGATGACTGACGATCTAAGAGTCTAGCAATCCGCACCTTATGCCGCAATCACACGCTGAATGTGGCTTGAATGCGAAATTAATCGCGCTTGAACGCGCAAAATTCAGCAACGATTCTCAGCGACCAGCGGATAATGTCGGATTTTTCTGGACCATTCGAATAGATTTGATACACATCTAGATGAAAATAACTCGAATTTGTGAAATTTCAGCTGTTGAGCGATGACTGTTGACTTTCACATACAGCTGCCAAATTCAGCATGTGATTCCGGCATTATTCGGAAAAACTCTTCCAGCAAAGTGCTTACCCCGACATCCTTCAGTCATCATTAGGTGAATGTAATTTTATTTTTGTGAAATAAGTTGTAAGTTGCTCATCAACCATCGTTAGGTGAAAAGTAGCGTTGGCCTCTGAATTCATCTGTTGCCTCATTGGATTAGATTGGTCAGATTGTTAGTACGAGGTCTCTGAAATACTCGTATACTGTCTCTTTTCAGAGGTTTTTGTTGAAAAAACATCCACTAGTCATCATTAGGCGAATTTTATGATAATTTTGTGAAACAAGTTGTAAGTTTCCCATTAACCATCTTTAGGCAAAAAGGAGCGTTGACCTCCGAATTTAAATGTTGCCTCACTGGTGCTTAGATTGTCAGTGCGAGGTCTCTAAAATACTATATTTGGACGTATTTCTGTCAAACAGAGCGCCAAATTGAGTTCCTTTTCAGGAATTTAGAATGCCGGGTAGCGCGTTCTGTCAAACGGAACTAAGCGCCATGGAAAAGCATTGCGAGTATAGGACGGAATGAGTCCGACGCCCGGTCCCGCCGCCAATCCAAGGCCCCCTCTACCCTCCTCCCCCTATGGCGCTTAGTTCCGTTTGACAGAAATACGTCCATTTTTGTCTCTTTTCAGAGATTTTTGTTGAAAAATAGTTCCCTTGTCACGGCAATCGTGCGATCCGGCAAGCCTCCGAGTATCTGTGAAGAAACTTTCGAGGACGACAAGATGAGGGAGTTGGACGAACGATGGACGGTGAAGCGACGGTGGAAACCCGGTGGAGCAGAACAGGCGATCGACGGCCGGTGATTGATTCGCGCGCCGCAATTTTCTTGCCGGGTGATGAAAATTTAATGGGAGAAAGAGTATGAGAAGTGAGCCCGAGTGGATTTTAATGAAGCTTTTTCGGTGAAGAAATCGGTCGGAGAGGGGAAACCATGCAATAAACAGAGAGACGCGACGGTATTTTAATAATTAAGTATAAACAATACACGAGAATAGCCCGAATAATTCAATGAAAACCAAATACGTAAAAAACGAGTAAACAAAGCTAAAACCACACATCAAAATGTCTGGAATTGAGATTCAAGGTGATGTAAAATCCAGATAGGTATTTTGATTTGTGTATTTTTAGCTTTATTTACCAGTTTTCTCAGTTTGGATTGGTCTAATAATTAGATTGATGGCGTCGGAGGGAGAGCTTTTGACCGAATTGAATGAATGGAATCCAAGTTGCATGGTGGGGGGAGAAGTAAGTTTAAGCTAGTCGTACTGCACTATCGTACTTCTCGCGAAATTTTAAGCAATGAACTTTTTAAATCGCAATTTTTTTGAAATGCAAAAGCTCACTTTCTTTAGCAACCAAGTCGCAACGTTTGATCAACTTGTTTGGTACATTACGTAATATGAGGCTCGTCAGCGGACCGATTATTGAAACTGATATAAGTGCAAACCGATAGACGAAGGTGACATACGGAAAATGGAACGATCCTTCTGGTGGCAGCGGGTGGCTGTTATAG